GATGGGGCAGACAAAGAGCTCTCTGTGCCTCTCAGGGCATCAAAATCCTCCCCAGGTACCCAGCAGGGAGTGTTTGAGCCCAGGGAGGCAGCTGGAAAAACAGCATTGTGACCACAGCCTGGAATTGCTGCTCGCTCTTTCAGAGGTGTTCTCAGCACGGGTTGGGTTTCCTGCTCTGAGGAATTGCTCAGCCTGCTCTTGTTTATTCTGCTTCATCCCTAAAGTTTGCCTTCTGCCTGGTGATGTTGCACGGCTCCTCTCCTCACCAGACTCCCTCTCGAGGGGAGGACGGGCCTCCACTGCCTTCTCCCCCAGCTCAGCAGCTCTCCTCCTCCTCTGGAGCTCCCTTTGGAGGCCAGTTCCCTCCTCTCCTGGGCTCTGGTTCCATCATCCCTGTCCCCAGGCCGGGGGCAGGAGCAGCCCAGCCCACCCCCAACACCCTCAGTGGGGTTTATGGAAAACCACCAGAGGATTGGTTGGGGATGGTCCTCCTCAAGTTTCAAGGCTTCTTATTAAATAATTATGGAATGGTTTGTGTTGGAAGGGATCTTAAAGCCCATCCAGTGCCAACCCTGCCATGGGCAGGGACACCTCCCACTGTCCCAGGCTGCTCCCAGCCCCATCCAGCCTGGCCTTGGGCACTGCCAGGGATCCAGGAGCAGCCACAGCTTCTCTGAGATTCCTCTTCCCCATCCTCACAGGGAAAAATTGCCAGTTTAGCTCTGATTAGTGTGAATTTTGCAAGCTCTTTTGTCCAATTCATCCACTGACAAATGTCATTTTTCTCCTAATTTTGCTGTTTATTGTTATCGTCGGCATTATTATTCTTGGCTAAGAAATAAATCCATAAGAAAAGAAATCAAAGAAATCACATTAGGCTCTTTGGAACATCAAAGGGAGAGGATAACCTTCGTCTTGACAGCTCCTGGTGTTGTTTTGGGCCACTTGGGGAAAAGTAGAAGCTCGAGGTAGAACAGGCACATCCACATCCAGGCTGGGATCACTTTTCCTTTCCCATCCTGACTCCTGCCAGTCCTGCCCATGGAAATGGAATTGCCATATGGAAATGCCACGCTGACAAACTCTTCAATAGAGGAGGAAAAGGCTGTATTGGATCCTCCCACCACCTTTCCTTTGCCTTATCCCAGATTTTGCTGCTGTGACAAGTGATGACACTGATGGCCTCCCTGCTCCTCATACCAAAGTGGCTCCACAAGGCTGTATCCTCAGGGATCTGCCTGGTTTTCCAACCCCAAAACCCATCACAGAATCTCAGCATAACCCCAAAGAGCCAAAAACCAAATCTGAGGAAATGAGTGGAGTTGGAAGCTTGAGGCTTTCCTCACAACACTTAAGAAGTAATTTTCCATGGGAGTTTAGTTCTCCTTAATCCTCTTTGAGATGCCTGGCAGGCATTTCTGGGGAGACCTCCTTACTTGCAGGGTAACCACTGCCCCTCTAATTACATGGGAACCACTCGATGGGGATTAGATGATTACATGGTCAGCAGTGGGACAGCAAAGCTGGGAAAGCACAATGCAGATGACAGCTAAATACAGTGTAATTGTTGTGTTCCTTGACTCAAAATGCAATTTACTCATCAATCCTGGAGCCCTTCATGTTCTGTGTGATTTAATGCAACGTTTGGGTGATTCCCTGGGGGTGGTGCATGCAGACAAAAATCTTTGCAAGAATTGAGGTCCCACATGTGGTGCCTGCATCTCCTTGTGCCCACAAATGTTGCTGATACCCAGAGCGAGCTCCAGCATCACATTTTGGCTGTGTCTAACCCAACAATCACGACGTGTAAAAGCACACATCCGAAAGAAGAAAGTTTTATTGGAGGCAGTGCTGGGAGAGGCCCAGAAGATCCCGTGCCCCACATCCCTGGGGCAGCAAGGTGGGAATATCTCTGTGGAGTGGCCCTGCTGATCCTGTGGGGGGAATGCAAGCACAGAGAGCTCCCAAGGCCTCCAACACACAAGCTCCGAGGTAGAGATGGATACAGGGTTTGACCTAAGACCTTGGAGAAGGCTTGAAGCTGTAGAATAGACTAGTGAAACAGACACAAAATAAGAATAAAGAGTTGTAGTTTCAGCAGAAGTATGTTTTAAGCAAGTAGAAATAGGCCTCATATAAGTGAACAAATATGCTAAGCCAAGAGAGTAGAACACAAAGTTTAGCAACAGAACTTATTAGAGAGTTGATAAAAAGTAGAAGATACAGCAGTAAATTTCTGTAGTTAAGTGATTGGATAGAAAAAGATGCATTGCTGTAAATTGTGTAAAACTCAGCAATTAGCAATCGGTTATAAGTATGCTAATGAGCTCCGTGGAAGGTGCTGATTGGATAAGAACTTTATAAAAGACATTGTAATTAGAATTATAATGGCTTCTGATGCAAGGCTTCTAATGTGATGGTTTTGGGTGCAACAACCTTACAGTCCCGCCCTTCCACGAGACTGATTTTGCAATAAACCATTTTTAAACACCTCTTCAGCCGACCCCATCTTTCTGTATCCCAAACAATCCTGCTGCCTTTCTGTGCCTGTGCAGGGTGTCCCTCGGTGTCCCTGCCATGTGGGACAGGCTGGGGACACGTCCTCAGCTCCTTCCCAGGACCTGGCCATGCTCTTCCTGAGGTGATCCTGGCCAGGCTGGGGACACCTCCTGAGCTCTTCTCTTTCCATGCTCTTCCTGAGGTGATCCAGGCCAGGCTGGAGACACTTCTTGGCTTTTTTCCTTCCATGCTTTTCCTGAGGTGATCCTCAGGCTGGAGGCACCTCCTGGGCTCCTCTCCTCCCATGCTCTTCCTGAGGTGATCCTGGCCAGTCTGGGGACACCTCAGCTCCTTCCATGCTCTTCCTGCGGTGATCCTGGCCCAGCAGCCACACAGAGCCAACCTTTCTGTTGGGTTTCCCAACTGCAACCTCATCATCGCCCTGGAGCTGATTTTCCCACCTGGTTTCCAGTTCCCAAAGCATCTCCCTTCCTTCACCAAGGCTGGGACACAGCCTCCCCTGGGCCAAACACCTCCCACCAGCCTCATTTCCCTGGGAACAGGGTGGAAGTTCCACCTCACTGGGGATTCCCAGTGCCACCCCAGCACCCACCAAGGTCACTTGGAAGTCTGCCTGGATGGGAAAGTGACCCCAGGCCACAGCCCCAAACTCAGCTCAAGCTCAGCCCATCCCTACCTTCCCCCCGTGGTGTTGCACCTCCTCTGAAAAAAAAAAAAAAAAAAAAAAAAAAAAAAAAAAAAAAAAAAAAAAAAAAAAAAAAAAAAAAAAAAAAAATCAGGTAAAACCACCCCAAACCTGAAAATACATTAACAATAGATGGACACTCCCCTGTCACTGAGAGTGTGTGGTATTTAGTAGCCATAAATTGGCACACGAAACCTGACACACAGCTAGCTTGGGATTATTTTTTTCTCCTTAGCTCCATGGCTTTGGATACTTGTCTATATTCCCTCCCAGATCAGAATTCCCACACATTCCCGCCCACATTCCCAGAGGCTGACACGCAGGTATACCTCTTTAGTTAATTAGAATTACTTTTAATTAAAAATATATGTAAATTATATAGAGTGTGCACAGCTTGGAGAGGAAAAAATAAAGAAGAAAAGAAAGCAAACTTCCATTTCAATGAAAATTTGAACCTCTTGGAATCAGCTGCTTTTGTGACATCCTTGGAGTTATTGGAACTCCCACGTATAAATAAATAGGACCAGGAAATTTTACACCCGAAATATTCTGCAGTAGACATTTTTCTTTGCACAAATTTGCTTTTCCTTCTCTTTTTGCCTCCACCACTCCCAGCCTCTCATGATCACTTTCTGCCCCTTTTAAACACATTTATTTAATATCTTGCTTCACACACCCAGACTGATATCCCTTTTTTTTTTTTTTTTTTTTTTTTTTCCTTTTTCTTTTGGAGAGGAAGCAAAGGAACACAGGAGAAAATGAAAGCCTGGGATTGCAAACAAGCGTCATCATCATTTTGGTGAGCAAATTTTTTCCTCTCAGTGTCTGCATTCTCTCCCCCCTCTCCCCCTGTGGCAGCTGGCTCAGAGCCTGGCTTTCCACATGCTGCTAAAAATCCAGCAGGACTCAAGCTGGGGATGTTTGCAAGCTTGGAAATAACCCCACACTTCCGTCAGAGATGGCTGAGGGACCAGGAAAGACCAGGAGATGGGAAGGGAAGAGGAGTGAGAGAATTACAAGTGGGAAAGGAGATGAGGGGATGGTTTATGGAATGGTTCCTGGAGACAATTTTGGGGAATTTGTAAGGAAACACAGCTCCCTGTGGGAGTAATTTCACTCTTGGTGCAATGCCTGGGTGAGGTAGGTACTGGATTTATTGATTTGGGGGTTCTCAGTACCTCTTTCTGTTGAAAGTAAAGATAACACTGAC